TTGCCACTATAGCGGTGCTACAACGTAGAACGGTGAATTTTTAATGAGTAGATATTTTGTCCATTTCTTCTCCCTCATTAAATGTAGAAATCCTTTCACAACCAAATCTAAAGACAAATGAATTCTAAAACCAAATTACAAATAGGATCTCCAACATTAGAGCTCGTCAAAAAAATGACGGCTTTAAAACAGTAAAATGCTTTATTAGAAAATTATAAGGGTTGAGGTCTGTTGTTGAAGAGTTATAATAAGTTGACACGAGATATTTTTTTTTAGGGAAAAATGCTTCCAGCCCCCAAAAGCCAAGTGAACATGCTTCCCACCCCCAGGACTTGGTCAATGGGCGTTTTACCCCTAAAAATAAAGAATCTGTTCTCTGAGCCCCCAAAACACAAAACCCAAGACATTAAATCATGTGAAGACCATAATACCCTTCTCTCTCTCTTTCTTTTTTTATTAAAATATGATGGGGATTATTTTATTATTTTTATTTTCTCTCTCTCTTTATTATGATGTACCAAGAGGATAGTTGAAATGATTGATGATGATTATTTTATTATTTTCGTTTTTTATTATTTTCGTTGTTTGTATTGGGAGGTTGTTAAAGTTACGGGTTGATTGTTAAGGTTACGGGTTGGTTGTTAAGGTTAAGGGTTTGTTGTTAAGGTTATGAATCCTCTCTCTCTCTCTTTCTTTTTTTATTAAAATATGATGGGGATTATTTTTGTTTTCTCTCTCTCTTTATCATGATGTACCAAGAGGATAGTTGAAATGATTGATGAGGATTATTTTATTATTTTCGTTTTTTATTATTTTGGTTGTTTGTATTGGGAGGTTGTTAAAGTTACGGGTTGATTGTTAAGGTCACGGGTTGGTTGTTAAGGTTAAGGGTTTGTTGTTAAGGTTATGAATCCTCTCTCTCTCTCTTTCTTTTTTTATTAAAATATGATGGAGATTATTTTATTATTTTTGTTTTCTCTCTCTCTTTATCATGATGTACCAAGAGGATAGTTGAAATGATTGATGAGGATTATTTTATTATTTTCGTTTTTTATTATTTTGGTTGTTTGTATTGGGAGGTTGTTAAAGTTACGGGTTGATTGTTAAGGTTACGGGTTGGTTGTTAAGGTTAAGGGTTTGTTGTTAAGGTTATGAATCCTCTCTCTCTCTCTTTCTTTTTTTATTAAAATATGATGGGGATTATTTTATTATTTTTGTTTTCTCTCTCTCTTTATCATGATGTACCAAGAGGATAGTTGAAATGATTGATGAGGATTATTTTATTATTTTTGTTTTTTATTATTTTGGTTGTTTGTATTGGGAGGTTGTTAAAGTTACGGGTTGATTGTTAAGGTTACGGGTTGGTTGTTAAGGTTAAGGGTTTGTTGTTAAGGTTATGAATCCTCTCTCTCTCTCTTTCTTTTTTTATTAAAATATGATGGGGATTATTTTATTATTTTTGTTTTCTCTCTCTCTTTATCATGATGTACCAAGAGGATAGTTGAAATGATTGATGAGGATTATTTTATTATTTTCGTTTTTTATTATTTTGGTTGTTTGTATTGGGAGGTTGTTAAAGTTACGGGTTGATTGTTAAGGTTACGGGTTGGTTGTTAAGGAATAATCCTCATTAATCATTTCAACTATCCTCTTGGTACATCATGATAAAGAGAGAGAGAAAATAAAAATAATAAAATAATCCCCATCATATTTTAATAAAAAAAGAAAGAGAGAGAGATGATTCATAACCTTAACAACAAACCCTTAACCTTAACAACCAACCCGTAACCTTAACAATCAACCCGTAACTTTAACAACCTCCCAATACAAACAACCAAAATAATAAAAAACGAAAATAATAAAATAATCCTCATTAATCATTTCAACTATCCTCTTGGTACATCATGATAAAGAGAGAGAGAAAACAAAAATAATAAAATAATCCCCATCATATTTTAATAAAAAAAGAAAGAGAGAGAGAGAGGATTCATAACCTTAACAACCAACCCTTAACCTTAACAACCAACCCGTAACCTTAACAATCAACCCGTAACTTTAACAACCTCCCAATACAAACAACGAAAATAATAAAAAACGAAAATAATAAAATAACTCTCATCAATCATTTCAACTATCCTCTTGGTACATCATGATAAAAAGAGAGAGAAAATAAAAATAATAAAATAATCATCATCATATTTTAATAAAAAAAGAAAGAGAGAGAGAAGGGTATTGTGGTCTTCACATGTTTTAATGTCTTGGGTTTTGTGTTTTGGGGGCTCAGAGAATAAAATCTTTATTTTTAGGGGTAAAACACCCATTGACCAAGTCTTGGGGGTGGGAAGCACGTTCATTTGGCTTTTGGGGGCTGGAAGCATTTTTCCCTTTTTTTTATTCATATCAATACTATTGCATGGTATAGAAAAGAGAAAACAAAGACACAAAATTACCATAACACAAAAACAAAGACATATTTCCCCCCAATATGTCTCGTAATGTTATTTATTTTTTTCCAAATATTTTGTGTTAATTTTCTTGAAACCACGTGGTTACCGTTTTCTTTTTTTTCACGTGCATTATGCACATGCCATTTAGCTAGTTCTATAGAAATCACCTTTGATTTTTAATTTATGCATAAATCGGCTTTAAAGAATTTCTTGTTGCAATCAACTGCCTGAACACACTTTTCAGTTAATTTTTTTATAACCGACCCCACCTAGCCGCGATTAAGGATCTCTAAGAAACTTGATATTCAACACCTAGTTATTATAGCAAAATAAAAAAAAATGATTAAAAGTAAGTCCAGAAGATTGATTGCAACAAAAAACTATTTAAATGTGGTTTACGCATAAATTGACGATCAACGGTGGTTTCTATAGAATGACTTTATTGTAAATGTGGTTTTTAGGGGGGGAGGACCTAAAACAAGAGAAATAAAATAGTGGAAGACACAAGAAAATGTTAAGAGTAAATCACTTCCTGCACTAAAGCTCATCTGACAAAAGGGCTCATCATCAGTAAAAAACCTGTCTACAAAAATATGGAGGAGTTTTTCACCATGATGCAAATTAATCAATTGCCTCTGAAACTGCCATCAAGAGCCACGGATCAATTAGACAATGGCTGGGGCTTCTTTAGCCCGTCCTTCCTTCTTCTTTGGCTGCTCCTGTGCTTTCTGTGTTACTGCTTTATTAGGCATTAAAGCCATGAATATGTCTCTCAAACGGAAATTCTTGCTCTCCTCGTTTTTGCCAGCTGAAATCAGAAGAAAATACAATTTAGATTCAGCTCAAGGTGAACTATGACGTACTAAAGTAGTACGAGAGATCATGAAGTGCCAAAAAAAAGGACAGGCCATGTCCTCGAATTTAAAGTTGAACTTCGGTTTTACGTCGAAGAATCCAAGTTACTTCCATGCCAAGGAATTTTCGAAGTTCAATGACAAAACCATTGTCCTTATTATTGGGAATTTCACTGATATTCATGGAAAGTTGCCCCGGAATCTGGATATATCAGATTTTATATGAATTGTTTTGCATCCGAAGGTTACGTGAAACATATGGAAAACATTAGATTATTTAGTACAGAAGTGAGTGCAAACATAAGTAGTAGTCTTGCATGATCAACCCAGATTGGAGAGTTCACAGGACCTACTTCACTATTTAAATCTGAAAATTGATATTCACTGGACATGTGGTAACATGAAACCCCCTCCCCCAACCCACCACCACCCCCCAAAAAATAATAAAAAAAGAAAAAAAAAAATGAAAGTTACATTTACGCGCATACAGTTGGAGAATTTAGAATGACTGTGAACTACTTTCTGCTATCTGATAAGCAAGTGTTCACCAAGTCAAGAGAACATGTTAAGTTTTTAGTCGTAACCAAAACATATGTTATTAATTTTCCTACAGGGTTTCTGGGGTTTGTAACATGATTAAAAAATGTAAACAAGAATATATTGAACAAACTTCATCAATGTAATATGACAAATTTGGCACTAGTCTTGTGTTATCTCAGCAAAAAATGTGACAGTAGCCTTTTCGCCAGCCTTGCATGAGTGCAACCAGAAACCACATCACCCAAAAGATTAAACTTTTTGGTTATGGCTAATTATATATATCGAGCTAATTTACTTCCCAGTGCAAAAGATATCAAATTCTACAGCAATGAAAAAATGTTTTTCCCCCCTACAAGTGCTAATTTTTTCCAATTATGTGCATTAAGTTATTATATAAAAAATAATTCAAGATCACTACCTCCCAGAGATCATTCTGAAATTGCTTGAGCAGTTCAATAGCTTTATCTTTGAACTCATTTTCTCGACGTTTCAAGTTCACAATGACCTTTACCTGGATGACATTCAAAGATTTAAACAACGTAGTAATTAAAAGAAAATAGAGGAAGAACATAAAAGTATAGATAAAAAGATACAGATTTGTTACCTTATCTCCATCACTGAGAAACCTTTTGGCAGCCCTTAGCCTCACAGAATAATCATGGGAGTCAATATTGTACCTGTTATCAGTTTGAAACAGATAACCTGTCAATCAAGAGAAAGCACATCACGTAGTTAATATGCCATGATCTGAAGAAGTGGATGGTTGAAAATATTGGATTGACAATGATATACATAGATCTATCATTTTATAGGGTATAACAACTACTAGTGAAATATCTATCTGATTCTCTAGTAGTCTTGAAAGCAAGAGCACCTTTTGGTGATTTGGGAGAAACGCGAGGTCTCCTCACTGTTTCAAAGTTCTTGAAGATGATTTCTAGTGGAAAGATAATCTTGATATGAACCATATCAAATTGAACCCCAAAAGTTGTTTCAGTCTTTCACAACTGTTGGTATTTTAGACTCCACAAGGGCTAAGAAACTTCATCTACGATAGAAAAAGGTGAAGGAAAAATCAATAGGTAAAAGACAACTAGGCTTACTATACAATTAGGTGAAGATTTTCACTACTTGTTTTCTGAAATGAGGTTTGTAAAACAATGACTTGATATCAAGTATAAAGATCCAACGAAAAACACAAAACAGGGACCAATCAAAGTGATTAAAAATTTAAAACACTTGATTAGCCAAAGCTGATAGATGTAACTTTTTAGATAACATAAAAAGAGATATAAGGATCACTTGATTATTGGTCTAATTGATAGAAGAAGTACAGGATAAAAGGTCGCTTATTTGGGGCAAAAATCCAAACTAGTGATATTCTGCTTGTACTCCAAGATCAACTGTAGGAGAAACTAGGCAGATACGAAGAACAGTAGGTAAAAGAGAAGAGACAACTAATTGGCTTTTAATACAGACTAAAAGAAAAAGAAGAGAGGGAAGAGATAACATGGTATAGACGTAAGGTAAAAGGGGAAAGGTAACTTGAAAGTGTAAGGTAAATGATCAAAGAAGGGACCAATCAAATTGTACTTGTACTTCTTCTTTTTAACTTCATAAAATGAATGTCTAAGTGACAAACTTTTTTGCATGGTCAAGCTTGATCAAGGTTTGAACACTTGGTTTTTGTTTCAATTTTGAATGTTTCAAATTTGACGAATTTTGGTAGTTTTTGTAACGGTAACTCTCAGGTTTCAGTTTTGTCGAATAAAACCATTTATATAGGACTGGAACCTTGAACTGCAACAATATACCGGAAACTATTACTGATGAGAATTATACCCCATTTTGACCTCTTTAATATCCACACGGTTTGCTGCAAGTTACAAAGGAAACACGCATGCAGCTTTATGTCAGAGGAGATTGATAACAGCTATGAAGATAAGACCACAGCTCTAAAACTTCAAAGGAAGAGAGATTCACCAAGAGATCTTTTCCGCTGCACCCTTTTTTTCTTTTGCTGCTCAAACTTATGCTTTCTGTCCAAGAAATACTAGTTTATTTTGAAGCTCATACTTGTAATCCTCGCTGTCAAAGAGCCTGAGAACAGGAGGATCTGCACCTGGAGACAATATTGCCTGTAATGGGAGTTAAGTATCAGATCTATCCTAGATATATCCACATTTATAGTATTAGGCAAACTTGCAGCTTGAAAAATAATTAAGTACTACATCAGCAAAAAAGTTTGTAAGAAAGCCCAAAGGGAGAAATGGTCATAGTTGACTTTTTTTTACTATTCGAACTTTAACATTTAGTTTCTTTTACTTATTAAATATCTATTTATATGTACATACTAATATAGTTTGAGAAAATACAATTGAGATGGTCATTAATGCAAAACACATGCAGTTTCTTTATCAATTAGCAGACTTGCTTATTAAGCCACTCGACAAGCCTTGTATTCAGTTTACTTGTAACGAGTTGGCATGTAGATACATACAGTCCAGGTTAAGGGGACAATTATTCAATATGTATTCAAGTATGATAACAGATTATGATAACTAATCTGTTACCATAAATAAGACGTGAGGGATGGAAATCGATGATTTTCCTTCTCTCCTACTTCTCCAAAACTCTCGTATCACAAACTACAAGATACGTGTACATGGCCTAATGACTGGTCAGATATCCTACATGATACTTCCATTTTAGTTAAGATAATTATGTATCATTCTAAATTTATGACTAATTGAGATGATAGGGACTTATATAACATTTGTGATACTTGAAGCTATGACAGCTTCTAGCTGGGATGATAGAGATTTACGCCTCTAAATAACATTGATTGCTTTGAGCACATCCAAACTTATTTCTCAAATAAGCTCTTCTACTCAATTCCGTATTATCCAATATTTTTCTAATGAAGTTATAAATGCACGACTCGCTTGATGAAAATAATACATACCAGTACTATCTCAGAACCATCTGCCATTTGAACGGCCTCATCTAGAGACATAACGCCGACCTGCAAATTCAAAAGAAGCAGAGTAGCTAAGAAAGTCTAGCGCATAACCACAAGGAGGGGGTGAAAGCTAAATTGCACTTAACTACCACAAACTTTCCCCGCTCTGCCACATATAAACCATAAGTTGTATTCTGTGATAGAAAAAGACCATAATTTGCTAAAAAGAATGGGCACGTTAGCACCATCGATTATGCAAACGCGAATTATTTGTTAAATTTATCATTAGATATATCCCAACTCTATTCTAAAGCAGAATTATTATAAGTTTGAAACAGAGTTTTTGCCGATTTGATAGAAAACTAAACAAATATTAATAGTTAAAATGCTCTAAAATCAGCATGTAACTATCATAGAGGCGAAAATTTTCAAGTTTGCATGATTGATGGTACTAACATGTAAACAACTTGTGGTATATAAGTGACACTGCTGATAAGCTTAATTTATGGCATTTAAGTGCAATTTAGCCAAAAAAAAAAAGAAAGACATGAGAAAAATACTAACCATACTCTGCTCTTGATCTAATAACCTTACTGAATTAGACCTGAGATTAAAAAAAAAAAAAAAACTTACAGATTTACATTTGAACAAAAACAACGAGGGGGCCAAGGAAAGGATAGATGAAAACGGTGGGAAGGAGGCAAACTGGATTTGGTCGAGATCGAGGGCGGGATTAGTAGCCGGGGTCGACGAAGCCGGAGCTCCCCTTCCTAGGAGAGAGGGGGGAGAGAGAGAGAGATGAGTTTTAAACAGAATTAGATTACGTTTAATAATAAATTCAACAAAGGGTTAAAAAAAATTGTAAACTTAGTTTATGGGTATCACTCGAGAAAATTCGAAGGAAAATTTTCTCACGTTTTGTATAGCAAAAGGTATAACGATGCAATGTTTATAAACTTCAGGGTGATATATAATTGTTATAAAAAGAACAAGTGAGGAAATATAAGTAAATAAAAATAGTGTAAACTATAAGGTATTTAAGTGCTAATTAAACATTTGTAAATGTAGTTCTTTGGAGGCTTGACCCATGGATTTAGGCAGCATTTGCGCTGATTAGTTTGGCCTTGTTTAGCCTTTCCCTTTGTGACTAATTAGCACTTAAATACCTTATAGTTTCTCCTACTTCGGACTAACATGCTCTCACTTGTTTTTTACACCACTTACATATTTTAAAGTTCTAAAATTTGCACTTTAGTACCCATTGTTATGCAAACATGAGAATATTCTCCCGGATTTTTCCATGTGATACTTAGTGACCTAAGCTTAGAACTTTTTAACCGTGATTTTTTGTTGAATTTAATGTAAAAAGTACCGGATGTCTATTTTAAATATATCCGAATTATACATTATCTAGGAGAAAGGATGTTGCCAAACGTTCAAAATTGTGCCAAATTCGGTACCAGCCCCCGCCTTACAAATCCTTGCCAAAATACACCCTCGCGGCCGGTTTTCAAAAATTACAAAATTACAATCATGGGCACCCCTGTCGCTGCTGCGTAAACCTCCGATGCTCTCCCATCAAATGCAGAGGGAATCAAAACTCATTTGTATAAACGTGGGCCTAATAACTCCACCCAGATCCAGTACCAGCCTCCCCTGTCACGGGGCCCATACAAAATGATAACTTCCACAAAACAACGCGCTGCACATGGCTCTACTTTATTCAGTGCCAGTCACACACAACAAACACACATTATTTATTATTATAACAAAACTTTAAAACCAACCTATTTAGAAAGTTAATTATAAAAAACGATCTATTTGTATCTTAATTACCAAAATCTACCCAGTTTTAACCAGTTGACTGAAACTGGACCGATTTTGATAAAAAAAAAGGTTACAAAACTTCACGGGACTTGAAGTTTAACAAACCCGGTTAAGTCCCGTGAAGTTTCGTAAATTATTTCGTCAAAATCAACACAGTTTCAGCTAACTGACTGAAACCGAGTTTTCTAACTGGGTTGGTTTTTAAAATTTGCCCTTATTATTATATATATCTCAGTGACTCAATCAATAAATAACAACTGCGTTCAGACGTAAACACGCACCCGTCTTCGAAAACTCAAATCAAAAATCTAAAAACCATGGTTGATGTCATAGAAACCAGCGTAGTGGTCCCGAGCAAAGAGACCCCAAGAGGAGCCGTATGGCTCTCAAACCTCGACCTCCTGGTCGCCCGGTCCCACACCCCACGTCTACTTCTACCGGCCCGGCGGCTGGCCGGGCTTTTCTCGGCCGAGCCGCTCAAGGGCCCTCGCGAGCCCTGGTCACTTCTACCGCTGCGCGGCCGGCTCGGTCTGGACCCGCCGGCCGGGTCCAGAATCGAGTGTACCGCGGCGAAGGGTGCTGTTCGTGGTGGCCCGTCTGAGCTGAGCGTCGACGTTTTCGGGGATTTCTCGCCATCGCGATGAATGAGAGATTGCCGGGTCCCTGCGCTGGGTCGCCGGATTCGCCTTGTATGCTGGTCATGTTTCAGGTGAGAAGATCTACATGTCATTGTCGTTGTAAGTAGAAGTTTTCTATTTTAGAAGAATTTATATCATAAAAAAAATATTGTTAAAAGCATATTTTAGAAGAAGGTTATATTTTCATATTCAAACGGTTGTCATCATCACTCAGCTGGTTGAGCGTCCTTTTTATAGGTCAAAATCGAGACTCGTGTGGTAATATTAAATTTAAAAAATCTACTTTAAGTTCTAGATCGGTGAGATTCGAATCTGAATTGCTTTGTTTTGATGCAATATTAAAAACAAGGGTTATATTTTTATACTCAAAACAGGCAGACAGTCGGCCTAGTCTAGCTTCAATTTCCACCCCCCAACAGATTTGTAAGAGTACATGAACACAAGCCACGGAACTGTGATATCAGTTACACTAACAAATCGGAATTATTTTTGGATATTAATGAATCGGGATTATTTTTAGATATTATACTGAATAAATTTAGGAGCTGACCTCTGCATGAGTAATCTTACAACTTTGCTTGTATTTTGTACCGTCATACTGAAGCTTTGCTTCTTCACTACAGCGTAACCTTCTTCAAGTGCGGCGGGGGTCTGCCTCGGCCCCAGCCCGTCCATCACACTGCGCGACGGCCTCGGGCCCTCCATTTTGTCAATGCGTGGTCCGAACTCGCTCGCAACCCCGCTCCCCCGTCCCGTCCCCCCTTCCTCGACCGCACCCTCCTCCGCTCCCGCTCCCTCCCTCCGTCCTCTTTGACACCCTGAGTACTCCCCCAAACCCCCATCCACGACGCCAAATCCTCCTTCGTCTCCGCAATCTCTACCTCTCGAGAACCAAACAAACTCCTCAAGGCCAACAAGACAGCCTCCACCTTCAAGGCCGTCGTCGCCCACGTTTGGCGCTCCGCTTGCAAAGCCCGGTCGCTCGAACCCCATGAGCCTACCCGTCTACTGATGACGGCCGATGCACGCGCCCGTATGCATCCGCCACTCCCCGCCGGGTAATGTTGTAGGATTTGAATCCTCTCCACTACTAAAAGGTAGTAGTGGAGATACCACAACTATTGATTTATTTAGTGGATAATTATGTTTCGTTCTAAATATAGCATTCACAACACCCATAAATTGCATTCTAAACATAGCATCCACAATACCCATAAATTGCACTCGTTCCTGATTTACACTAAGAAACAAATCAAGAACATCAGCTAGCTAGATAAATCAAAGGTTGTGATATAGTAGTGATATCGTACTACTTTTTTGACAGTTGATAGGATTTGAATCTGTTGAACATCCTCATGAAATTTTTTATTAAAAATATAAATAGTCAGTTGAAATAGTTATAAATAGAAATGAAATCAGGCTCATTAGGGGTAATCGTGATAACGCCGTCCTAGAATAAAGGTAACCGGCTTTGAAGAGTCGGATAATTTCAACTGTGAACTAGCGGTAAAAATTACATTAATGGTTGATATGAATTCAATCTTTTCTCCGATCCGTTTTCCCAACAGGTACCTCGGCAACGCCATCTTCCGTTCCTCTGCGGTCGCCACAGCAGGCGACATTTCATCGAACACCATCGAATTCGGCGCAGAAAAGATCGGGGAGGCAACGAAAAAGCTCAACGACGAGTACGTGAGGTCCCTGATTGACTATCTCGACGCCGTGGAGGATGTCAAGGGGCTGCAGAAGGGAAAGTGGGCGATGCCAAGGAGCGATCTGTGGGTGATAAGCTGGCAGGGTCTGCCGATATACGAGGCGGATTTCGGGTGGGGGAGGCCGGTGTTTATGGGGAGGGCTTGCTTGCAGTTTGCTGGGCTGGTTTATGTGATGCAGGAGCCTGGAGAGGGGGGAGGGATCACTTTGGCTGTGGCTCTGGAGCCTGAGAGTATGGAGAGGTTTAAAGAGGTGATATATGAGGATTTGGAGGTTTGATTGAGGAGTTTAGTGGGGATTTTGCATTGAAGGGTGATGTGTTTGTCATTTTGTTTTCTTTTCTTTTGTTTCGAGGTAATTGTTTGGAAATATGCTCTTTTTTTCCTTTTTTCATTTTCACTAGATTGGGATATGTTAAGGTTATAATCTGTGAGATCATACCAGCATTCATGCACCAGATCTTATTAGAACTTTTTTTGCAGTTAAATGTGCGTGTATTTCTATACCAAATTGTCAATCTTAAAGGTGTTAAATTTTTTTGGCTAAATAGCACCTACATAGTTTATAGTTTCGCTTCATTAGCACTTTTATACCTACAGTTATATTTTGTAGCATTTACATATTTTGAGTTGTCCAAAATTGACAAGTTAATACCTTCTGTTTTGTAGACGTGTAAAATTTTTATCTGAAAGTTACCGGATAGCGTTCATATGCTTATTTTAAAAATTTCCGTACATTTAAGTTTGTTGAATTCATTGTTAAAATCTTTTCAAATTCTATTTTCAAAGTATGATTAGGGTACATTTAAAATTTTAGAATTTGGGCGGGTTTAATAGCTATTTAACCAATAATAACGGTTAAAGCTCTAAAATTTAAATATGATAATTAAATGAGAATTTTCGGATGAAAATTTTCATATTTGCACGATGGCGGAGTAGTGATAATACATATTCTTCATAATATTCTATTGAATAACCACGTGACCCTGTCTCGTTCAACAAAATAGGCTTCTTCCAGTGAGGTTCTGCCCTGTAGGGCCCGGGAAAGCGTGGCCCGTTTTCTACAGGCCCAACAAACAAACAAGCCAGGATGACCCACCGGTGAAGCGGTGACCCAAAAAAAAAAATCAAAAATCAAAAATCAAGCCAGCGTTTCCCCCAAAAACCTCACCTTTGTCGAGCTCTAATGGAGTACGGTGACCAATGGCTGGCCGCCGACAAGTACGAGCA